CATTTTTGTAGATTGTTCAAGTTCATGCTCAGGTCGACTGGAAGGTCAGAGATAATCCCAGGTCTATCTCATTTTCAAGGTATATGCTCCAGTCGGGGCAAGAATTGAACAATGCCCTCAGTGGGGCTTTATTTATTTGTTTCGTATTTTTTAAACTTTAGTAAAATGCACCTCACATAAAATTTGTCATCTTAACCATTTTCAAATGTACAGTTCAACAGTATTAAGCACATCCATATCGTTGTGCAACCAATCTCCAAAACTCCTTTCATCTTGTAAAACTAAAACTTTGTGTCCGTTAAAATAAGTCCCCATTCCTTTCTTTCCCACCCTCAGCCCCTGGAAACCATCAATCTACTTTCTGTCTCTATAAATTTAACTACTAGTTCCCTCCTAGAAGTGGAATTATACACGGTTTGTCTTTGCCACTGGTTTATTTCACTCAGCACAGTGTCCTCACGATGGATCCATATTGTTGCAAGTGTCAGAATTTCCTTCCTTTTAAAGGATGAGTAATTGTCATGAAATGAATGTTTGTGGATGGTATAAGGGTAGGACCATGATCTGATAGGATTAGTGTCCTTATGAGAAGAGACACCAGAGAGCTCAGTCTCTGTGTCTCTGTGCAAACATCAAGGAAAAGCCCATGTGAGGACGTAGCAAGAAGGTGGCCTTCTGGAAGCCAGGAAGAGAGTTCTCACCAGACCCAAACTAGCCAGAAACCTGATCTTGGAGTTTTAGCCTCCAGAACTAGGAGAAAATAAATTCGTGTTGTAGATGCTACCCATTCTATGGCATTTTGTGATGGCAGGCCGATAGAATAATATTCCATTGTTTGCAGGCCCGGTTTTGTTTATCCACTCATCCATTGATGGACCCTTGGGTCTCTTCCATATCTTGGCCATGAACATGGCGTGCAGATATCTTTTTGGGACCCTGCTTTCAATTCTTTTGGCTATGCACTCAGAAGTGGCATCGTTGGATTAGATGGCTATTCTAGGTTACTGTTTTGAGAAACTGTGATATTGTTTTCCACAGTGGCTACACTGTTTTACATCCCTACCACAAGCGTTCCAATCTCCCTGTCCTCAACAACACTTGCTATTTTGTTGTTTGATAGCAGCCATCCTAATGGGTATGAGATAGAGGGCTTTATTTATTTATTTATTGTGCAAGCGGGAGAGGGGCAGACAGTGAGAGGGAGAAAGAGAGAATCCCAAGCAGGCTCTGCACCACCAGCACAGAGCCCGACGCATGACCTGAACCCACGAACCGTGAGATCATGACCCGAGCTGAAGTCAGATGCTTAACCGACTAAGCTACTCAGGCACCCCAGAACAGCTTTCTTTTTTTAATTTTTATTTTTTTCATTTAAATTCGAGTTAGTTAACATACCGTGTAGTCTTGGATTCAGGAGTAGAACCCAGTGATTCATCTATTACATACAGAAGGAATTTCTTTTTAAGAAATAGAAGCTATGGTAGTTCTTAATCTTTTCCAGAGCAGGGAATCTGAGAATCTGGTGAAAGCTTGTGACTTCTCACAAGAAGAAAGCATAAAGAAAATGCTCATAAACATACGATTTAATTAAGTTCCTCTAAGGAGTCATGAACTCCAGATTACAAATCCGTGATCTATGCTACGAGTGTCACTAGAAGGTACTTAATGGCTGGTAATACTTGCCCTGGTAATGGCTTTTCTCATTCTCTTTTTTTCTGTTTCTTCTCTATACAGGTCTCCCTGGCTATCTGAAAGTAGAACATTCCTATGAAAACTTTCGTTAAGTTGAAATAGCATAAAGCAAAGAAGCAATTACTATTAATTAATTAATTTATTTTTTTTTTCAACGTTTATTTATTTTTGGAACAGAGAGAGACAGAGCATGAACGGCGGAGGGGCAGAGAAAGAGGAAGACACAGAATCGGAAACAGGCTCCAGGCTCTGAGCCATCAGCCCAGAGCCTGACGCGGGGCTCAAACTCACGGACCGCGAGATCGTGACCTGGCTGAAGTCGGACGCTTAACCGACTACGCCACCCAGGCGCCCCAATTACTATTAATTTATATGGAAAAGGTTTTGAGTGTTCCCAGACCCAAAAAGTAACCTCTGAGGTTTTTCTGATACCTTAGGACACGTCTTGCGAACGGATGCACAAAATAAATCGAGATAAAGCACAGGTGCTCGCAGACACAGTTCAGACCTCTGCAGGCTGATGCTGGCATATGAGTGCGGTTCTGGGAGCAGGGGCTTGGCGGTGGGTGCTGCCTCTACAGCGGTTCGCCGCAAAACAAACATTCAACACGGTTTTTGCTTTTCGCCTTTTTTTTTTTTGTAAAAACAAAAATATTCTTAAGTTTCTTTTGGTTAGCAACAGCAGGTACCAGTGTAGGTTTTTCTTAAAAGCAAAGTGGCATGTTTAAAAAAAAAATAAAAAGTAAAGGGGGTGCCTGGGTGGCTCAGTTGGTTAAGCATCCAACTTTGGCTCAGATCATGATCTCTTGGTTCCCCGAGATCTAGCCCTGCGTTGGGCTCTGTGCTGATAGCTTGGAGGCTGCTTCAGATTCTCTGTCTCCCTCTTTTTCTCTGCCCCTCCCCTGCTCGTGCTCTCTCTCAAAAACAAATAAATAAACATTTAAGAAAAGTTAAAAAAAATGTAAAGTGGCATAATGCAAACTTTCAAAGAGCAGGGGCTACCTCTGTTGGGCATTTACCATTTGCCTAATGCTGTGCTAAATGTTTAACATATACTTTTCCACCTCACAATAACCTTATAGGGTAGATACAATTATTTTTTTAAAGTTTGTTTATGTTTACTTATTTTGAGAGAGAGAGAATCAGAGTATGAGTGGGGGAGGGGCAGAGAGAGAGGGAGACACAGAATCTGAAGCAGGCTCCAGGCTCTGAGCTGTCAGCACAGAGCCCGACAAGGGGCTCGAACTGGCGAGCTGTGAGATCATGACCTGAGCCGAAGTCGGATGCTCAACCGACTGAGCCACCCAGGCTCCCCAAGTAGATACAATTATTATTCCCATTTTACAGATGAAGGAACTGAGGCTGCTCAATTTTCTCACAGGTAGTCCACAGAGGAGCTGGGATTCTTTGAGCTTAAAGATTTTGGTGTAACTGGGGAAATCTACAGATGTTGGATGAAGGCAGCACCCATGTCATATGCCTGGGGCTTAGTGCACAGCCTCTCATCTCTTCTGGGAGGAGGCAGATGTAGCAATACTTGACCTTGCCCAAGCTCATCAACAGATGCCCAATCACTGGTCGTGGGATACTTTCAGGAGTCCCTGTAATTCCTAAAGTTTCTTGATGCTTTATAACCTCTCTTCCCAGGATTCCGAGGGGGTAGCAAAGTGTTTCAATGATGAGGTCAACAGAGGAAGACCACCCAGAACCAAGTCAGGATGCCTTGTATCACTGAGATATATCAGACACAGAAGTGGAGAAAAAAAGGAAATAACAAACAATGGACTTCCAGGTTTTACTTCTGCTGCCATGACTACCGTTCAAGGGCTCACAGCTCCTAAGGAACAGCTCGTGCAGTCTATGCTGAACCTACTAAAACTTAAAGCAAGTGCCTGAAGCCTTCCCAGGGCTACTCATTTTCTTTTGCATTTATCTTTACAAATGGTAGCTGTTGCTGAACCATGTTACGTTGACTAAAAAGGGGCATTCCCTGGCCTTGAACTCAGAGCATCAGGGGTTGGGTGGGGGCTGGGAGCGTCAAGCAGGCTTTTGGCTTCCCAGGAGAGGTTAGTAGATTTCCGGGAAGGCAGCCCCTATGGATTGCTGTGGTTGCTGCACCTTGTGGGTCTGGAGCTGTATTTGGCCACAGAATGTTAGGTACCAGCTTCTTCTGCCCAAGAACACTGTCGTCTAGAGATTAGGCTGCTATGGAAGTGCAAGGAATTATCCTGGATGTTAAGAAAGACACTCCATCATTTCAAATAATAAGAGCAGTTAACATTCATTGAGTGCCCATCACGTATCAGGCACTGTGCTAAGCACTTCATGTGGATTGTTAGCATCTCAAATCCTTCCAACATGTTATCTTTCTGCTTTCTGGGGACTCTTGTAAGAGCAAACCCACATGTTGAACTACGGCACTGTTTTATGGATCAGGGGACTCTTTCCTTCTGTCCTAATGATGATATTCTGTTTAAAAACTCTTGAAGAACCATAGTGAATGTTGATCCCCAGCCCCCGCCCCTCTACACTGGACACTCTCTCACAGTGGGCTCCCCCAAGTCTACAGGATGCTGGGATGCAGAGAGGATGAAATTTCACAGTTACTGCCTGTGTAATGCGAGATCAGATTGTGTCTCAAACTTGGTGTGGAGAGGGTGACTGAGAGAGAAACTGCCTAAAGGATGTAAACTACTCACTAATGAATATGGATGATCTGCCCACAAAGGATGCATTTCATGCGGAAAACTGTTGTCATTTCAATAGGTTTTTATCACATTATCTTGGCCACTTTGTAGCAGTGTATTGGGGCAGTTATTGACAGGAAGGCATCTATGTTTGATCTCAGGATTGGTCTGCCATGGAAAAGGCTGAAATTAATGGTGACTGTAGGCTGCTTGAGAAACCCCACCAAAGGAACTTACTTTGCCACAAGAAGAGACCCGGAATATCTTTTAAAAATCACACCGATTATGCAGGAATACACCTGGGGAATAACTTGACTTTTCAAAAGGGCTCAAAGTAGTTCTCAAAAGTCCCCTTCAGTAACCAAGGCTTTGTACCTGTTATTTGTAAGCAATATGGGTGGCTAGACAGGAAATTTTGTGGTAATGATTCTACAAAGTTGTGAAATTTGCATACAGAGATTTGATGAGCCTTCACCAGTATGGGTTATTACCCAGCAGCCCAGGAAGATGGCCAAGAAGTTGCTAAAAGTTTCTTACCTCTCAGTACGTCACTGGAGTTCTTCTTGTGGAAGACTTGCTTCAGCCATTTCCGTGCAGATGTGGCCGAGACTTTCTAAGATAAATGTGGGCATATTTTGGCTGTTTATCTGTATCTACTCAGTTTTTTTATCATGTGATTCTGTCTTTGCCAGAAATAATGAAGTTGGACAAAGTGGATTCACTGTGGAAGTGTCTGATAACGTGCCTCAGTTTCCTCACTGTAACTGGGAAATGTCTGCAGAGATGAAGATTCAAACAAGAGCACAGTTTTATTTGGCCACTTCTATTTTATTTTATTAAAAGAATTTTTTTGAGTAGGTTCCATGCCCCATGTGGGGCTTGAACTCATGACCCTGAGATCAAAGGTCGCATGCTCTGACTGAGCCAGCCAGGTGCCCCAATTTGGTCACTTCTTATCTCCCCTTGCACAGAGCTGAATACCATCCACTCATGATTCTAGGCAGACAGCTCGGGGTAAGGACAACCAATTATTTACTTACAATTGTGTCATTAGCACTTCCAAAACACTGGTGACCATCCTCAAGCCTTTCATAGCTCAGCCTAGACTTGTGGCTTTTTAAGAATCAGTTTGCTTTCTTTCTTTTTCTACCCCATTGTTTGTTGATAGATAAGCTTGAAAACACCCCCTTCCTCGGAGCTTGATTGGCAAGTGTCAAATCCGCAAGCTTTGGCAGCTATGTGCTATGTGGCTGTGTGGCAGCTACGTTAAGGAGGAGTGAAGGAGGACATAAGGAGGAGTGAAGGAGGACACGGGTTGGTCTGTGGCCAGAGGGAAAAGAGAAACCCATATAACCAGGATGAACAGACGAGTAGAAGGTGTGCGTAGTAGTTCCCTGGGGCTGCCCTAACAAATCACCGCAAACCTGGTAGCTTAAAACAACAGAAATTTATTTTCTCACAGTTGTGGAGGTTAGAAGCCTGAAATCAAGACGTTAGGGCCATGCTTCCTCTGAAGGCTCTAGGGGCGGGTCCTTCCTTGCATTGTTTTCTGGCTTCAGGTGGCTCTTGGCACTCTTTGGGTTTTCTTGCCTCGTGGACTTAGCACTTCAATACTTCTACCTCTGTCGTCACATGGCATTCTCCCCTGTGTGTTTTCACACCACTTCTCTCTATGTGCCTTCTGCATATCTTCTTATACAGGTACCAGTCACTGCATTGAAACTCCACCCTAACCCAGTATGACCTCATCTTAATTTAACCAATCACATCTGCAAAGACCCTATTTACAGATAAAGTCACTGAGCTTCCACGCAGACACAAAGTTTGGGGGACATTATTCAACACAGTGTAGAGGGGGTGGTCTGATGGCATCTGGAATGTGGATTTGAATGTGTTCTTTAGACCAAATCACACTCTGGGGAGCCTGGGGTGCTCAGTCAGTTAAGCGTCCGATCTCAGCTCAGGTCATGATCTCACGGTTTCGTGAGTTCGAGCCCTGCATTGGGCTCTGTGCTGACAGCTCAGAGCCTGGAGCCTGCTTCGGATTCTGTGTCTCCCTCTCTCTCTGCCCATCCTCCATTCACACTCTGTTTCTCTCTGTCTCTCAAAAATGAATAAATGTTAAAAAAAGAAAAAAAAAGACCACATCACACTCCAAGCTTTGAGTGCTGTGAGACAGGCCCATATCCTTATCATTAGTTCTCATTTGTGTGTAAGCCAGGTTCAAGTTGTGTGACTACTAATGCAACCAAAAGAATTTTTAATATATACAAAATAAAAAGCACCCTATTATTACGATTCTATTAGCTGCCACTGTAGGTCGTAGGTCAAGGAATATGATCTTTTTCTATATACCCCGGTATGGGTGGGTGCCATATTTATCAACCATGAAGGTATTCTTCCCAGGGTAGCTTGAGGAAAGCAAACTGTTTTTATACATTGTAGAAAATGAGGCCCGGAGAGACTTGACCAAGCATACTTAGTATATCAGGAGGGAGCCTGCACGGCCAACCTCAACTCAACTTCATAGGAAGGTCATAGGCAGGACAAGCCCAGGAGGTTGCTGGGCTCCAGTTCTCTGCTTCTCTGTGAGTCTTTGGGCTCTATGCCTCTCCATATGTCTGACCCACCCCGAGGCTAGAGACCAGGTAGCTGGCACAGGTCCAGACATCATATTCAGTCACAAGGTCCTGAAGCAGGAAGAGGTTATATCTGGTTAGGTCTCTTCTTAAGGGCAAGGAAAACATTCCCAGGAGTCAGCCAGTAGACCTCCCTTTGTGTCCTGTTGGCCAGAAAGATGACAGGTGCCCATATCTAAATCCATCACCAGCAAAGATTTGGGAATCCATGACTGACCGAGACTTCTCTGGACTCGCCCCTCAGCCTGGGCTTATATGGAGCCCTCTAGAAGCACAAGGCTGAGTGAAGGAGGGCAGATGCCTGTTCTGAATTAAGAGGAAAGGAGGGTGGGCGAGAAATGCGTGCTGAGTGGGCAACCAGAAGCGTCAGCTACACTTGGCAAGCTTATGTTTCCAAAATCCCAGATGACTCCAGGGCTCTTTCCACCAGACTTTTTACATCACTCCTAAACAGCCATCCATGTGTGGTCGGCAGAGTCTAGCACAAAGTGCCAGAATGTAGCATCCCACCAATGTTCTGATCTGCCTGCTGTGCCTCTGACGTCAGTAGCACAAAGGGCAAAAATCGGTTCAGCTTTCCTGATGGCTCCACAGCCCTGGAAGTGGCTCTATAGAAGGTGGTTTTAAGGGACCCATAAAAGAACAGACATACTTCACTGCTGTGAGCCCACAGACTGGGCTCCAAGGTGACGCCAGCTAGCTTTCTTGGCTTAGGGCCCTTCCGATGCCCTCTGTGTGGGTCCCACAGCAAAGAATCCTGTTCACTAAATTTTCAGCTGGGAAAAGGGTGTGAGAGGGTGGTTCTGAGTAGGGCGGTTGGTTTAACCCCGTAAAATCATGTGTTAAACAATTGCTACATGCAAAGATGCACCAAATCTGTCTGTTCTTTGTGGCCTCCATCCAAGGGCTGCAACCTCTCAGTGAGCACCAACATAGCACCCTAAGCCTTGTTCGGTGAACTTGTGGAAAGCCATGGAGTCCTGGGGCAGCAGGAAGCGGTTCTCCTTTAAACCCAGTGCTTACAGGGGAATCTCTGCTCAGGTTTTCTGTGATCTGTAGGGCTGGGGCAGGGGTCTCTGAGCTGGGGCAGGGGCAGTCACTTGGTGGAGGGTGGTCAGGGGTCCGAAATTTGGCCCATGCCTCATCCCATCCTGGAACCTTCCTGTCACTCAGCAAAGGGGAAGGAAACTTTTCTGTTTGTTATCTCATGGACTCATCATAGCAGCCAACAGTGTGGGTGTTAGCACCCCCAATTAACATTTGGAGCCAAGGGTTCAGACAGGGTGAGATGTATACTCAGGTCACACAGCCAGTGAATGAATTCAGAGCCCATCAAGATCCTGAGGGAATGGGGTGTGGAGACAGGCACGTGATAGAAGACAAAGCGCTCGGGGAGACCTGGGAGGCTATTTGGGAGGGCAGGCTGAGTCCCAGATGTAGGGCGTAGCCTGGGGGCACAAGAGTTAGCATCTGGCAGCACCTGGGGAGGAGGGAATCACAAGGGCCAGGAGGTGAACGGCCCGTTGCTAAAAAAATACATGGCACACCAAGGGTTCGGTTCTTCCCAAGGGAGCCCAGCTGGCTGGCAAGGGGGAACAGTTCTTGCAAAAATAGGAAAGCACAGGGACTGCCGGGAGGTGGGCAAAGTGTTACTTGTGGTTACCTTCAGATGTGGGCGTCCCCAGGTGGGGATTCCACATGCAGAAGTGAGCCTGTGCAGCGGGGTTTGGAGCACAGGCCCCATCCCTTCCCCACAGCGGGAAGGACAGGGAGAGCGAGCGGGCAGGGACTTTGGGCCAGAGGGCTGGCTTCCCTGTTGTCTGAGACGAACAAAGGAACTCTGGGACCAAATGGAAACTTGGTTCCTTTTCTGTCAGTGGCCGAGGGACACCTTTAATTGTAAAATTCACGACCAGCCCTTGATGGAAATTGCAACAAGGCCAGGCCATATGGGAACGTTTCGATGGAAATGAGCATCTGTTCTCTATAAGAAATGCAAATGATGCTTAATTGCGCCTTCAGAGGGATCTGTCTCTGTCCCCAGCAGGGGGCCCATAGGTGGGGTAATCTGACCGGGGTTCAAAGTCCCCAGCCCTCTCCCCACAAGACAGAGGTAGCCAAGAGAGCACATGAGAAGTTTCCTGCTTGGAGTGACCCCAGACCAGCCAGTGGCCTCCGGTGACGTTCCCTCCAGGAACATCTGTACAGAAGGGGACTCACGCATACTAAATCCCTACGGTGTTCCAGGTTTCACTTGATGTGGGCATCCTCCCCCCACCCCCCATGCCGTGGGATCCCCTGCTTTACAGATGAGGAAACAAAAGTCAGAAAGAACATCATGCCGTTTGTCTGGTGTGTCAGAGAGTGTATGGTGGGACAGATTCACAGCCAGGACCGACAGTTTGAAGAGCCCCACGGACTTCTTCTAACATCGACTGAATGCCTAGGTCATGTCTTTGGCAAACCTTGTCTTACTCTGTCTGGCTATCTCTCCACTCCCCTCTGAAGAGCCGAATAAAGGGGGTCTGCACAGGAAAGGGTTATTCCTTCATAATTCCCATGTCACTTCCGGAAACACTACAGACGTCTTACAACAAAAAGCACTTAAAATAGGACTGGTAGGGGCGCCTGGGTGGCTCAGTCGGTTAAGCGTCCGACTTCAGCTCAGGTCACGATCTCGCGGTCCGTGAGTTCGAGCCCCGCGTCAGGCTCTGGGCTGATGGCTCAGAGCCTGGAGCCTGTTTCCGATTCTGTGTCTCCCTCTCTCTCTGCCCCTCCCCCGTTCATGCTCTGTCTCTCTCTGTCCCAAAAATAAATAAACGTTGAAAAAAAAAATAAATAAAATAGGACTGGTAAAATGAAAAGAGAAGACTGGAGCCCGCAGCCCCTCCCTGCAGGGTGCTGAGGAGTGAAGTTTCTACACCATCACCTCAATCATCAGCAGCAGCAGATTTGATGGTGCTGTGATCAGGGACGCCTGCTGCAGTTCACGGCTTCTGTAAGGCCCCTGAGCACAGGTCCTGGGCTCCAGGACTTTGCTTCCGGTGTAGGAGGGAAGCCATTTTCTCCTCGGTGCTCCGCTTCTCATCTGCAAGGTGGGATGATAGTTCCTCATGGGTTGTTATGAGAGCTAACGCGTTCACGCTTTTAGGATGGCACCTGGCCCATACTGAGCGCTTAAGAGGTGCTAGCTGTCACTACTTTCCCGGATCTCACTGTGAACCCTGCACGGGTTTGAGAACTCCCCGGAGGTGCTGGGTTGAGGTGTGGTTGCTGCCCTTGCTTCTGTGACCAGAGCCACCACAGGCTTTTTACCTTTTCCAGACCTCAGGCTGCCTACAGGATCTTTGAAAAACTGCCTTAGATTATAGGGGCCATTTTGCCTCTGAGCTGCCAGAGGAGCAGGGAATATTTCTTGCCAATGCCGTGTTACGGGCTGAATTGTATCCCCCGTAAACTCATGTGTTGAACCTCTAAAGCCCGGTACCTCAGAAGGCAGCCGTATTTGAGAATGAGGTCTTAAAAGAGGTGATAAAGTTGTAATGGGGCTATTAGGATGGCCCTTAATCCAATATGGCTGTGTCCTTACAAGAAGAAGAAGAGACACAAGGGACCATCCTGCACGGAAGTAATCATGTGGGGAGGCAGCAGGGAGGTGGCCGTCTGCCAGACAAGGATAAGAGCCTCAGAGGAAACCAACCCTCCGGCACTTTGATTTTGGACTTCCAGCTTCCAGAACCATGAGAAGTAAATGTCTGTTTAAGCCAGCCGGCCTGTGGCATTTCATTTTGGCAGCCCAAGCCACGGCAGACTGTGTTCCAGGTGCCTAGCGGGGAGTGGATGCTAATAAATGCGTGCTGAATTGGCTGAACTGGATGCATGTTCATTTCCCATGAAATGAAAAAGGAGGCCTGGGTCCCAGGGTTTGCGACCCTTTGAAGAGAGATGCCCTTCCAGGCAAGTCTCCTGCAAGATCCCTGACTCTGTCCACCCCCCGGGAAGGAACCAAAGTCTTTCAGGAGCAGTAAGATCCAGCTGTGGCAATGAGGCCAGAGGGAGTGGGGGCGGAGCAGGGAGAAAAGAGAGGAAGTGGGGCCAGTGTCCTCAGAGGGGGTAGGCGGGAGCAGAACCTGGGAGGACCCCTTGGCTCTGTGTGGCTCACGGGAGGATGAGAAGTTGGTGCTCCGGAAAGGTGGGTCCTCGGGTACCCCAGGCGGTGGGGGTGGGGTTGCTAATGGCAAAACTGGTCCTCTATGGGGCTTTCCTTCTCTGAAAGGGGAGGGGCTGCTGGTGCCTGGAAGCTGTTGGCCAGATACCGAACGAGAAC